TGCGTTTACCGATGGGGCGCGTCCCTACATTACCTGGCAACAAACATCATAGCCGCTGAAAACGTTTATTTCTTTCTCCGTGAGCTGGATCTCAAATAAGTTTGTATCCCTATCTACTAGAGACGGAAAGTTGCAATCATCCAGTGTAATCATAGCCAGGATAGCATCTACCTTCCGTAATTAAATGCAAATCGTTTTCTGGATGATAACTAAACCAATAAACTATGTTGAATGACCTCAATAATACTACACGTGAAGGGAAACGCCTCAACTGAGACAAGATCTTTCTACGCCGAACTAAAAAAAAAAAAAAAAAAACAAGAATTAATTATCAACGAAATCATTGATAATATGATTCGATAAATAAGTAACCTTTGAACATTTCTCTCGTGACATTTTTAAAAAATATTTCCTTTCTCCTATTATTTGTTTATCGTTCCTTCTTTTCCCATTCTGTGTCTTTATCACATTAAATTAAATACAAATTTACATCTTGTATTTGCTTTCTATATGTTGTCTGTGTTTATTGCTCCCTAACTGAGTTAAGAATCCATTTTTTTTCTCTTTTAAATGAACCCTGTTCGCAGCCATATATTTGATTTTTGTCGAAAGATAAAATTCGTTACATCTGGTATTCCTAAGCGGTCACCCATAAAGTGTGGACGTTGCTTAACTTCTGTTTGGGATCGCTGTTTTAATGGGATATGTCCGTAAACACAAATTAAATATATAAGTGGATATCGATTTCTACAGGCATTGATTTGACTTTATCATAAAATTTGATATGTATAATTACATGGACAATATTTATTTTATTTTGTCATTATTTAATTTCTAATTTTGATTGAAATTTTCCTCTATATTTACGTTTTAAATGGATTTTTTTTTTCAACCAGCATTATGTCTTATTACTTTAACCTTATTTTTTCGGTGTATACGTGTTTGTGTTGACATCTCTGATTTAAATAAATATATTAAATAATGAAATTAACCACAAGAGGCCGTCATCGCGAAATTAGGCTAAACAAAAGTGTTTCTCCCGAAAGGAATCGAACATGCATTCTTTTTTTTTTTTTTTTCAGGGGAAATAAATCTTATCGTCGAAGCGTACGGCTAACTAATATGGGCGATCCTGATTATAAGCATAGGGTCAATTACTGATTAACGTATGCGATCATCACGTTTGAACCTTTGAGGCTATATCTGTTTGTTTTCATATCTGAAACGTAATCACAGTAATTTCTAAAATGACTTTAAAAAAAACTGTATTTCTTATTACTCTAAACGTCATTTTTAGTGGATACACTTTACCTTAACATCTCTGTATCTATGTTTCTATACAGTGATCTCACAGAATGTAGTGGAAAACCGTGTTTAAAAAACAATTTTGAGACACATCTCAAAAAAGGAAAAATAAGTTTAATATATCATTCAGACAAAAGAAGTTAAAAAATAAAAAAAATATTAACAAAAAACTCTATTTTAGAAATTTAAGACATCCCATGGGTTAAGTCACAGTCTTAGGACATGCTTCATGAGAATTTTATACTTTCTGACATGGAGTTTATTTAATATTTAATTTAGATAACTTCTTAGCTTTTTAATATAAGACTTCTTGGTCCCTTTCGTGTAGGATCCAAAGAAAATAAGCATTTTTTTATTATTTTTCATCATCTTCTACACACAGTTCGTAGTAAATTCAGATATTCAAAAGCCCTGAACTTTGTATCGCTCAATGTATCTATATTTATGTCTGTATTCAATAGGAAGTAAAAAAAAGAGAAAACACTGATGTAAAAAGAAATAAACGAATAAAAATATTTATATTTAATTCTGTTCGTTAAAGCAAGAAAAAATATCCAGCAAAAAATAAACACATCCGACTGTCATAATATTCTGCCAAGTTTGGCTTTTACTTTTCTTTTTCCATTTTTTTTTTTTGTTTTTTTGTTGTTGTCGATCGCTTACAGCTTCTTATCGTACGGCAGTCTCTTCGAGTCTGGCTTTTTGATTGTTTCTCTACCAGTCCGGACATAACGCTGGCAAATATTTAGAACTTGGCAAATTCTGTCAAAAGATATCTCTTCTCATTTCCAAAAGAATCAAGAAGACGACGATTCGCGCTGTTTTAAAAACTCAGCCGGCAATCGGATATAGCCAATCTGGAGTTGCGATGAGATGATCATAAGCAAAAAGGTGTTAGATTAAACAAACCAAAAGAAAACAAAAATATAAAAATAGACCTAAAAAAAAGAGGTAGGAAATATAACGTTTTCTCCGGAGAAAAAGTGCATCAGCTGTGGATGTCATAAAATTAGACAGTTATATGGGCATGCTACCTTGGGAAGAGGTGGAAAACCAGGGATTAGACATTATATTCCATTATTTTTTTCCTAAGATTGTTTGTTTCTTTTTTTTTTATTTTTTGGCTCGAGCAGGGGCTAGGGAAGTCGAAGACAATGAAGAATGTCAGCGAATGATAGAAGTTGAGGGAAATGGGAGAAAAATCTTCGAAAATGAAGAAAATGAAGAAAGAAGGAAGTGTAAATATTAGGAATTTGGCTGTGGACTTAAATATAATAGGAACTTCTTCGCTTAAGACATTTACAACGTAAATCATTCTGAGAGAAAGAATAAGAGACCAGTGCTAAAAAGAATCACATTACAGCTATAAAAGATTCAATAAACATATCACGAATCAGACATCACACACAACACACATTTATATATATATATATATATATATATATATATATATATATATATATATATATATATATATATATATTTTTTATATATATATATATATATATATATATATATATATATATATATATATATATATATATATATATATATATATATATATATATATATATATATATATATACCAGATTTTATATAGCTGTGTTTTCGCCAGGTGTTGTATGATTCCTATAAAACATAGAGATATAGCCATGCATTTGTGTGTGTTCCTGTAGATGGTTGTTTATGTAAATATTTTAGAAACAACAGACCTAATTAATAAAAAATTAAATATATATATAATATATATATATATATATATATATATATATATATATATATATATATATATATATATATATGTATACCAGCTTTTTATATAGCTGTGTTTTCGCCAGGTGTTGTATGACTCTTATAAAACATAGAGATATACCCATGCATTTGTGTGTGTTCCTATAGATGGTTGTGTATGCAAATATTTTCGAAACAACAGACCTAAGTAATAAAACTTCAGCTTATGTAACACGCCAGCGGCTGAGACGAATCATTGAACAACCTACCATATTCTTCGTTTATATTTCATCAACTTTCACTATGCTTACCATCATTATTCTCCATAACGTCCTCCGCTTTCTTCTCTGAGTAACTCATCATAAAATTTCAGGTTGTGAAATTAGTAAATTCTAAATGACATTATCGTACTTAAATAATAATATATTAACCATATTAATACTGGTGCCCCACTTGTTAATCTCTAGGTTACAGACAAAATCCAAAGACGGATATACAGTATGATCAGTCCTGACTTGGTGTCTCGTCTCCTGTCCTTTTGTCACCAATGTAATGTGGCTTTTTTTGTCTTTTCTATATATATTTTCATGGCATTTGCATTGACGAGCTATATCCACTTGTGCCCCGATTGCATGAATTTAATCGTTCTACTAGGTTAGCATCACGGACCACACTTATACGGTCGTCTCTTCTACTCCAACAGATTCTTCTCTAGCACTTCATGACAGTAGATCTCCCTTCCTCATACTCGCTTACCTGATAACTATAAACTTCAAAACTTACATGTAATGTTAATAACATCTTCTGCTGCCTTGATCCAAGTTCTTTTTTTATCCTCCTCCGTTCTTCTTTTTATCTTCCTTCCTTCTGATTTTTATTCTCCTCGGTTCTACTTTTTATCCTCCTCCGTTCATCTTTTTATCCTCCTCCTTTCTTCTTTTTATCTTACTCTGTTCTTCATTTTGTCCTCCTCCCTCCATTTTATTCTCCTTGGTTACACATTTTTTATCCTCCGTTCTTCCTTTTACCCTCCTCCCTTCTTCCTTTTACCCTCCTCCCTTCTTCTTTTTATCCTCCTCCGTTCTTCTTTTTATCTTCCTAATTTCTTTTTTTTATCCTCCTCCCTTCTTTTTATTCTCCTCGGTTCCACTTTTTATCCTCCGTTCTTCTTTTTATCCTCCCCCTTCTTCTTTTTATCCTCCTCCCTTTTTCTTTTTATCCTCCTCCCTTCTTCTTTTTATCTTCCTCTGTTTTTCATTTTATCCTCCTCCCTTCTTCTTTTTATCCTCCCCCTTCTTCTTTTTATCCTCCTCCCTTCTTCTTTTTATCTTCCTCTGTTTTTCATTTTATCCTCCTCCCTTCTTCTTTTTATCCTCCCCCTTCTTCTTTTATCCTCCTCCCTTCTTCTTTTTATCTTCCTCTGTTTTTTCATTTTATCCTCCTCCCTTCTTCTTTTATCCTCCCCCTTCTTCTTTTTTTATCCTCCTCCCTTCTTCTTTTTTATCTTCCTCTGTTTTTCATTTTATCCTCCTCCCTTCTTCTTTTTTATCCTCCCCCTTCTTCTTTTTATCCTCCTCCCTTCTTCTTTTTATCTTCCTCTGTTCTTCATTTTGTCCTCCTCCCTTCTTCTTTTTATCTTCCTCTGTTCTTCATTTTGTCCTCCTCCCTTCATTTTATTCTCCTCGGTTCCACTTTTTATCCTCCCCCTTCTTCTTTTTATCCTCCCCCTTCTTTTTATCCTCCTCCCTTCTTCTTTTTATCTTCCTCTGTTCTTCATTTTGTCCTCCTCCCTTCTTTTTATTTTCCTCGGTTCCACTTTTTATCCTCCTCCGTTCTTCTTTTTATCCTCCTCCCTTCTTCTTTTTATCTTCCCCCGTTCTTGTTTTTATACTTTCCCCGCCCATTATATCCAGTCTTATACCTTACTTTCATTCTCTGTAGCCTCTTGCCAACTACTAGGGTGATTTGCTTAGAATAATAATAATAATAACAACAATAATAATAATAATAATAAATGGATTAATAATAATGATAATATTAAAGATAATAATAATAAATAAATAAATGAATACTTAATAATAATGATGATAATTACAATAAACAAATAAATAAATAAATGAATAATAATAATAATAATAATAATAATAATAAGAAGAAGAAGAAGAAGAAAAAGAAGAAGAAGAAGAATGATAATAACAATAAAACAAAATCAATAAGAAGCCAAGTAAGAAATCATGTGGCGTATAATTGAGACAGCAATAACAGCAAGTAAATCATTAAATATCAAAATAAATAAAGGCAGTCCCACAGACACCTTGCAAAACATAGAGAAAGAAATTGAACAAATTAGAAGTGAATTATCGGCTCTCGATGATTTGACAAGAGGGAGAAATGTAAGGACTCTAAAAAGTAGAAAAGTCAAAAGAAAATACAAAATGAGGAAACTAAATAAGGTCCTATCAGCTAAAGAAAAAATAAACAATATAACTGAAAGCTCAATGTGTCTGACGATTTGAAAAAGATCAAGATTCTACAAATAGAACAAGATCCTTAGAACTTTTGCGAAGAAATTTTACAGTGAAATAAGCAAACAAAAAATGAAAGTGACAACACCCTCCTCAACAAAGGAAGTGCTTATACAGTTCTAACAAAAATAAGGGCTTGCCCTAAAGAACATACAAATGAAAGAGACTGGATTACGCAAGAGGTAGAACGGATGAAAAATGAACCAGAACAAACATGGGCGGGAATCACAGAATAATCACGGGAAAAAAGCACACATCTGGAAATCTCCAGGAATAAAAAGTTATAAGTTTTGACTCTTGTATTTAAATACAGCACATCGAAATCTAACCAAAGAAGTTCAAGAAATAGTCTAAAATCTCGGCATGGATAACAAACGTAATTACATTTCCTCTACCCAAGAGTGGGGATACGAATGTCCCAAAAAATACAGACCAAATACATGTCTTCCCATTATTTACAAACTGTTGACATATATTCTGACAAAACAGATATTTTCCTTTTGAGAAATAAAATGACATACTATCTCTTCAAGAAAAAAAAATGTTAAACGTGGCTCTTACGGATGCAAAGACCAAGTACTAATAAATAGGATGCTCTTGAAAAACTGCATCAATACGAAGAACAATCTCAGTTCTGCTAGTATAAATTGCTATAAGGCATTCGATACAGTGTCTCATTCCTGGATCTTAAAGTTTGTAAATATATACAAGGTATCACCAGTCGTCATCACTTTCATCAAACAAAATATATCGATATAGAAAACAACACTTCACCACATTCATGTAAATGGCGTCTACAAGTGAAATAAACAATAGAGGGATATTCCAAGATGAATCTTTGTCTCTTTTACTATTTTGTATATATCTAATCGCACTAACCAACGAACTTAAAAGGACGGAATATGGCTATGAGATATCTCAAAAGAAAAATAAACAATCTATATTACGTGTATGACTTAAAGTTGTAACCTAGGAATGACAGTTAGCTAGGTCTACTGAAAATATTAAAAAGTTTCAGTGATGACATTGGAATGGAATTCGGTTTGGATAAATGTTCTAAAATCAAAAGATCACATGGATCACTACATCAAACCTCCTCTATTTGACCTTGGGGTAAACATCAAGGATATAGAGCAAGGAGAAGCCATAAGTACTTGGGTGTAAATCAAGGTGAAGGAATTCACCATAAAAATTAAAGAAATGGCATGAAGATTTTACTATAGACAGGTGCGACTGATATTAAGAACTGAAAAGAATTCTCAGCCCATGTTGAGATTGAAAAACTCGGAAAGAAGAAAATGTTAGTTATCCGACATTATTATATGACATTATTATATGATATTATTGTTAGGATGTTGAAAAGATTGAATTGCTATTCCGGTTTTTTGTCCGTTTTTTTTAATTATTTATTTGTTTCTTAAAATATGAAATTAAATAACAACGGACCTAGTTTGAGAAATTCTACAAAGAAAGCTTGGGCTAACGACGGAATGCAAAACTCTTCATATTTAACCAGGAAAACAACTCTATAGATTTGCCGAATGAAGCCGCACTGATAAATAATATATATATATATATATATATATATATATATATATATATATATATATATATATATATATATATATATTATTATTATAAAAAAATGATAACATAAGTATGCTATAAAATCACTACAAAAATAGCCATTTTGTTTCAACACCCTCAGTGTCTTATCAAATGATGATGTTGAAGATAATATATATATATATATATATATATATATATATATATATATATATATATATTATAAAAAAAAAAGAACAGTAAGCTATATAATCCGGTGTTGTTAATGATATTTTATTGTTACAAAACAGTGCTCCATGTAAATTTACAGAGCATAAATATTATAAATAAACTGATTTAGAAATATGTTTTCTTCGCTACACAGAAATTACATGTTTAAACACCGAAGATAAAATCTTCAAATTTGATTATATAATTAAATTAAAAATTAAGTCAAAACATGCATACATATATATATATATATATATATATATATATATATATATATATATATATATATATATACATATATATATATATATATATATATATATATATATATATATATATATATATATAATGAGGTGATTAATTCACTCATTTATTTAAATGTTCTGTTTTTTTTTTTATTAAACCGTTTTAATTAAATTTACTGGCCTGAATGTCAAAGAAATTTCGTAGAAAATATGTGTTCTCTCACAGGAATCAAACCTGTATATCTAATGAGACTATACTTGTATTGTATCTATAGACATAATGCATAAACAGAAAATATATTAAATGGTTGTCGGACTAAATTCATTTCATTATATGTTGTCATTGTCTACGTTAAGATGATTTTGTGAACAGATATGTCGGATCGAGAAAAGATATTCTGCAAAAAGTTATTTGTATATTACTAGGAGTAATTAATATATCAGCAATACCATTCAAATTTTAAAAATATAATGAGAACCCAACAATAAATCTGTTCACTGGCCTCTATTATATATGTGAATCCTTTACCTCTACTTATATTGAATCGCAATACCTTGTTTCAAGTCTTCCATCTCTCTATTATAGGTGTCTAACAATTGCCTTCATTTTTAATGGCACGGGTACACTAACTTTTAAATATTCGATAAGAGATCACCTTCCTTTCTGTTGTTGATATATACTCCTGTAAAATATGGCTCGCCACAAATGACCCCAGAATAAATTTGATACCCTTATTAGATAAATTCAAGAAATGACGTTCTTGTTGATATATACTCCTGTACAATATGGCTCGCCACAAATGACATCCAGAATAAATTTGATACCCTTATTAGATAAATTCAAGAAATGACATTCTTGTTGATATATACTCCTGTACAATATGGCTCGCCAAAATGACCCCAGAATAAATTTGATACCCTTATTAGATAAATTCATTAAAAAACGTTGATATATTTATACACCGAATGGAAAATATATTCAAACATAATTCTAATTATGAATCAACTCAAGCAAAATGTACATTTTTACTGGATTTGATAAACAAAGGCTGCGTAAAAATTTGCAAAAGGTTACAAAAATGTGTATTCGATGATCATGATTTATATCATTTGTTAAATCATTTGATAGATCATAATTAATAAAAACAAAAATCGATAAATATGTATATAACTCCATAATACTGTTGTGCACAGATTGTAAGATAAAATGTTTTAAATTTGCAATGGAAACTAGATATGAGAATACTATTGCTTTGTCTGTGAAACAAGCGTATGTGATACACGAGTATCTTGCGCATTATGAAAGAGTTGAAAACCACAGAGGACGTACGAAGCGAACGATTCTTTACCTTCGTTCGACTCCATCTGAAATCAAGAGACAAAAGAGGATGAGCCAAAATATTCATGCCTTTTTATTGAATTAAAGAGCGTAACTTAATGAGCATCATTGGCGAAGGCAAGTGGGATAAACCACAATATATATGCGCATATTCTGTGTTTTTAGGCAGCAAATGTTTTAAGGCAAATGCTATTAAATACGGCAAGTATTTTGTGTTGATTAATTTTAATGATTGTTACGCTTAATCTGCCTCAGTCAAGGAAGAACTGCCGTCATAAACTATCAGATGTTCATTTCGGAATAAAAGTACAGGAAATATGGTACATGCTTTTGACTTTCTTAAGTGGATTACTTCAAAGGCTGCTTTGTATTTCTATAGCATTTAACATAAGAGAACACAGAATCTAAATTGCATGATCGGGCAGCTTAGCATACAGATTGGAAACTCGTAAAGGATGTTAATGGCACAAAACATAATTCAAATTCATACATTATGATACAAAACATTTTATGTGTTTCTAATCTGGTGTTAGGATAAAGTGCATTTACGATTCGTTTTTGTCTAAAATTTCGTGGTTGCTTATATATGCAGTTCATGGTATTCTCAGCATCCTTCTGCAGACAAGATATACCGAACATTTGTGCTCTGCATCGTGATGTCAATTCCTATGAATAAAAACACTGATGCGTATTAAAAACTATTACCTAAAAATTCCATGGTCAACAAAGTTTGACTTTCAGAAAGATTATTTTGTTACAATATATATATATATATATATATATATATATATATATATATATATATATATATATATATCAAATCCTGAAGTGAAAAGGATAATACAAGTAGTTATTTATAATATAAAATATTAAAAGATATATCCATTAACAGAGCTCAATATATTTTATACAGTGCAATATAAGAGTATGTGTCAATATATATATATATATATATATATATATATATATATATAAGTGGACTCTCCCGTCGTGTTTGACGTGTGAGGTCAGCAACTCAGTTCCTAGGAACGGACACCAAGACACAAGCACATATGGTTTCATTATAATTGTGAAGGCTT